TATTATCCTAGTTAAACTGTTAAATTAATAAGTTTTTGTTCTTTATGTCATTAAATGCCATACATCGTATATATGTGTATGTGTTTAACTAATTTATCCTAATCCATACATGTTTATATGTACTAATTATTTCCATGTATTATCTTATTCCATTCATATTAATTTAGCTTATAAATTATCCTTTGTATCAATAAAGTGTGTTTGTCATAATTAAAGTGTTTAAATTATCCGAATATTTTAAGAACTCGTATTTGTAGAATGGGCGTAGAAAGTATCACTTGATCGAAGTGGTACAATCTAATACGACGTTTGAACTAAATGAAACTTGAAATAAATAAATTTTAGTTTGTTAATTGCTAATTCATTTTTATTTTACACCGAATAATGCAAGTTATGTATTTTATTTTTCGCAATCGTCAATTTGTAATTTATATTCGATATGCATTTTTTACATATTCGACGATAGAATATTCTTTAACAATGATAAATGGTTGAAATAGCTTTCCCGACGGAGGATTGCAAATTTTAAGAATTTTTATCGAGTTAAAGGATTTTCTGTAATTAATTAATTCGAGATAAATTAATTAAATCTCAATAAATGGTTCATAATTTAACTTTATATTTGGTTCATCATTTCTTTCTATTATTTACGACAACGTATAATCGACACAGTACCAATTTTGGGCGTTGTGGGGTGCTAATCCTTCCCAACCGACTTCCGAATCTATTTAATCGAATCTTTGGTAACGTATACCAAATTTTGTCTTATAAAATGATTTTTTTTTAAATTGTTTTAAAAGACTTTTTAGGTACTTGATCTACCTAACTCAAACGTCGATGGCGATACTATCCAAATTTTCCAAAATCACCGAAAGGGTGTTAGTTAGGGAAATATTGGTAAAACATTGGGCAAAAGTGCCCAAATAATGATGTGGGAATTTTTAATTCCCAAACTAATACACTCATCTGATTAATTCCTGATATAGGGTGTTTTCTACTGGGTTTTGGGATCTCTTGGGTGTTGGATTGTTTCTTGGATCTCTAGGCACATTTAATTGAGATTTAGGAAAAAAAATTTGGCATTTTTACACAAATATCATCTTAACATAAATTAATTACTTGTTAGGCACTGTTTAAGAATATTTTACGGATCTAACAAATTTTTAAATACTTTCTATAAAATTATTCTCGCATTAAATTACACAATACAATTATGTCTACCAATTACCACTTGATACTTTTTTATGTGTTTTTTACCCTTTCAAAATCTTATACGTATAGTATATTCTAGGAAAACTTTGAGGGTAAGTAATTTAAAATATAAATAATTTTATAAAATATTACGGATCATCATCATCCATCCCACTGACCCAACTGACTGTTCACACCATCTATCTCATCCTATAAATACCCCACTCTCAACTATTTTCACCACACCAAATCATCTCAAATTCTCTCAAAAACCAAACCTCGTTCAAATTTTATTTATAAGGTATATTTTATTATATTTAATATTTTGTTAGTATTTTATTTAATTATTGTATTATTTAATTTTTTTACTATTTTATTTAAATATTTTATTTTTTACAGTTATAAAATGGAAAGCGGTCTGCTTTGTTATATTTAATATTTTGTTAGTATTTTATTTAGTTATTGTATTATTATTTTTTATTTAAATATTTTATTTTTTACAGTTATAAAATAGAAAGCGGTCTGCTTCGTTATATTTAATATTTTGTTAGTATTTTATTTAATTATTGTATTATTTAATTTAATTTATTTTATTTTATTTAAATATTTTTTTTGCAGTTATAAAATGGAAAGCGGTATGCTTCGTTTGGATGAAAATCTGTATAAGTTAACGGAAACAATGATGTTGAATATCTGTACTGAAGCGACGATATTCTCCTAGTTGAGAGGATTGATGTGAATGTTTACGGGTTGAGAGCGTATTTATAGCCTAGAGAAAAGTTTAAAAGCCGAGAAATACATATATAATTATTCAAGGCGCGACCCATGCACCGTGTCTATCTGGTGCGTGTGTCAAAGGGTGTTAGATCCGGAATATTATCTCAAAGGGTGTCTGAAACGTAAATATTTAAAGAAAATGTGATTTTTTGGTAAAATCTCCAAAAAATGCATAGTAAATATAAAAATATTAACTAAGGACATCGAGTAATCCGAAAATTTTAGCCCAAAGACGTCGAGATATCCTGGGGTCTTTAGGTGATTACTGTAGAAAATACGTTAGATCGAGAAATAATGTTGAAAGCACGTTAATTTGGAAATTAAACACTCCATGTAGGAGACACTTTTGCCTAAAACAATATTATATCTGGAATTATAGGTCTATATGATGTTAGTTAGGTCAAATCGCCCATGTCATGTGCTGCTCAGAAGCTAAGGTGGTTTTTCCAAACATCAATTAGCCCTTCAATAGAGATAACCTTTTGAAAGGCTATTTTTTAAGAAGAAATTTTGTTTATATAATATGTCATCTAAGCCATTTTAACACTGACGTCATCCAAGATCAAACTGTAAAGAAATGAAAATATTAATTCAAAAATTATACAAATTTTATTAGAAAGAAATTTTAAAACGCTAAGGGTCTGTTTTTTTTTTGGGAAAATCAATTATGTAATTGGTTTTCCCGAAATCTCATATTTGTTTCATTTAATTCGTTTTTCGAAAAATATTTTCTCGTATTTATTTTACATAATTCATTTTTCGAAAAATATTTTCTAGTGTTTGGTTGGAGGAAAACTGGTTGGTCAATGTAAAACATTTTCCTGGTCAACGTAAAACATTTTTCTGGTCAACATAAAACATTTTCCTTGTCAACAGAATTTCCTTTGTATTTTCTGAAAAATGACTTATTGTCTGATTTTCCGTAAGTTATTTTCCTGGTCAACAAAATTTCCTTTGTATTTTATGGAAAATGACTTACGGCCTGATTTTTCGTAGGTCATTTTCCGAACTTTTCACTTCAAAGAATAAATACTCAAAATAATTTTATTTTATGAATTTAATATTAATAAAATATTTTAATATCATTTTAATCAAAATATCAATTATTAAAATATTTAAAATATATTTATTAATATTTTTAATAATATAATAAATTTTTAATATTATAATAAATAATCAATTATATTATAATAATATAAGATATTATATTTTTTTTTAATAATATATAATATTATAATAAAATTTATATTATTTATTAATTTCATAGAAATAATATTATTAATTATTAATAATGAATAATATCATTTATATAATTATATTAATATAATAATAAATAATATTTAATAAAGATATTTAAAATACTAATTAAATTTTTAAATATAATATAACACTATTACTTTAATAAATAATTATATAATTTATAATATTTTTATTTCAATAAAATATACCAATATCAATATTTTTATTAATAAAAATATAAAAATAATATTTAATAATAAAAATTATTTTATATTTTAAAAATAATAATATTAAGTTTTATGATAATAATATTATTTATTGTATTTAAATTTATAATAAATAATTTTTAAAAAACTCATCAACTAGTTAACTTTAGGTGTTTAAAGGATTTTTTGTTAAAAATTGATTCCTAACGTTACACTTTTAGGTGCATAGACTGTAATGCCGTTAAATTTGATCGTTAAGTGACATGTATCATGCTTATAAAATTTTAACAATTTTATTTTAAAATAAAAACTTAAAAATTATTTTAGAAAGTACCCAATTTTTTATTAAATTTAAAAAAAATCCAAAACTCTAAAAACCATAATACCAAACCCCTTTACCCACGTCAGTCGACGCTGATGTTATGGTCGCCGCTCTTTACCGTCGAACACTCCATTTAATCGGAGTTCAACGCACAAAGGGAGAAATCGCCGCTTGAATCGTCAGAATTGTCACACACTGTCAAAATCATTTAATCTCTGTGATCGTCGATTTTCCACTAAAATCATTGAGTGAAGCATGGAGGTTCGACTAGTCACATGCCATTGAGGCTTCGGCTGATTGGCGGCATTTGACGATGGTAAGGGATTGAAATTAAGATTTTTCTTTTGCAGCAATTCAAATTAAAAGTTTAAAGATCAAAACCAATAAAAAATATTAAAAAAATAAAAATAAAAAACCAATATAATTATATCAAAACTTTAATGTTATTGTCAAAAGGAGAGGCTGCCTACTGCCACCGGTTTCTACCAAACAACACTATTGGCAGAACCTTCAACGTTGTTGTCAAAAGGAAAAGCTACATACCACTCATTAAAAATAATCTACCTATCGCACTTGTTTTCCTAGAGCATGAAGATTGTATGTATTCATTTCAATTCAACCCTATCTGAGTTACTATTTAATAATTAATTTTTATTTAAATCTAATTACAAATTTATATAAACGACAGATCTTTTCAAATAATAAACTTAATTCACAATTGTCCCTCCAACCTTGTTTTTTCAGATCTTAAACTTTTTCTTTCTCATATTAACCTTTAAATTATTCTCATTTATCCATTTGACATCCAAAGAACAATTTAAAGCAATGAAAACAAGTCACAAAAATAAAACCACGTAGCACAAGTTAATTAGTCCAAATTGTTCAAAATTGCAAAAATGAGAAAATTGGTATACTTTAAAGGCCAAAATAGAATTAAAAAATTAAGCTGCAAAAAAGATTAAAAAAACAATAGGAAAAACTAATTTATGGGCTGAAGTTGAATAAAAAAAAGAAAAAAGAATTATAAACCATAGATAAGTGTAGTCATTGAACCACTGCTTAATATTTTAATCAAATGTTATATGTTCTTTTTATTAAAACTAAGGCGTGCAAATAAATTAATGGTAAATATCATTGCTTAAAAACCGATGCATGTTCTCATTCAAATTTATATTTAAGGCAACACTCACAGCTGATCAGTGCATATTATCATCAGGATCATGCCAATTAGGGAACAAGGTTCAAATATCAATACCACATTCATATTTTCGATACATTAGCATAATTAGTTTTATTGTGTTATAACTTCGAATAAAACGCATTACATTATCACAATCTGAATGAGTTTTGATGCCAGCATAATACGGAAATGGAATGTGCAGTTCTCTAGCTGATTTACATGAAAGAAACTAATGTACCTGACTGTTTTCTGTTTTCTTCTGGAAAAATAATGATCCTAGTAGAACAGCCATGCTGGTTATTGCAATCGTGAATAGAATTCGTCTCCTTGAATAATCTGGTTGCTCTGGTCTCTGCCTTCTCGGACTGCCTTCTTCTCTTTCAATTGCCCTCACATCCCTAAACGATTCCAAATAAATTGATTAAAACTAATGACAATACTAATTAAAATCAATTATGAACCACACCCTAATTAGAATCAATCTAGTTGCACATCACTGAAATAGAGGTACGTTCCTTATACAACCAGGTGACACAAACACTATTACACTAGATAAATTGTGCCATATTTCCCTACTTACAGGGGGGGTCCTTGTGACTGATGGGATGTAGGGAAAATCATATACTAAAAACATCTTACGAAATCATTGATTGCATAGCATGGCTAGATTCTCGATTGAAATGGATACTTCTTAAGGTATATCCGTGTTGGGAATATCACACCCCAAATTAGGACATAAAATTTTCTTAAAATTTATTTTGAGGACTAAATTAAAATTTTAATTAAATTTGGAGACCATAGTAAAATTTTGATTAAATTCATATCCAAATTAATAAAGCAACTAAAACTAGAGAACCTATAGTGTAAAAATATCATTTTTTTAATTTGGGTTTAAAGGCCCAAAAATTAGAAACTTTCCATTTTTAGAAAGTTTAAACCCTTATCCTCTCTCTCTCTCTAACCTTTCCTCTTTTAGAAGAAAATCTTTAATCAAAGTTTCGTCGCCAATTATTGTTCTGTTTTCGACACCTCGCGCACCATCGTGTTCATTGGGTCATCCCAAGTCCACCGGTGTCCATCTTGTCTTCGTTGCCGCTGACGTGTGAGGGGTGAGGAAGATCAAGTTTCCGACGTTGCGAAATCAAGCTCTCTGCCATTCACCGCTGTGAACCGAGTTTGTAAATGTCTCAAACCCCTTAAAATTCATATAAACTTTCCGCAATTTTTTCGACCCTAGAAGGTCTCGCACGCGCCCACGCGCCGCCGCTGTGCGTGGGGAAAGTCCACAGCTTGATGGGCTTCTAGAAGCTGCCCGATCTGACCCAACTCGATCCGACCCGAACCAAACCGGTCAGCCATTGACCGTTGACTTTTTCCGAAAACCTCCATTTTGACGTTTTTCGACGTCCTAAGTCCGATTTTGCGATCCATTTTGCCAAATTCTAACCCAAAGCCCTGAATCGAGCCCATTAATTCGAAAATTCTTAGATAAAAGCCAAAAGTACAACTTCACTTCATCGGGCATCAATAACAAGCTTAAAATTATAAATATATATGTGTGTGTGTGGAAATGCACCAACCGATTAAATATCTACCCTAACAATCCAATCAGAAATTATATCATAGCATATGCACCTGGAAGTTCCCACATTGTTTTCTGCAATACCAGTACACGTATTATCATGGTTATATCTTTCTCTCAGTCTAATATATCTGTTACAAAGATGACACAGCTCTGTCCGGTTCCCACATACTTCCTAAAATCACAAAGCAACAGCAACATTGTAATAAGTTCTCGCCTAACAAGTACCATTACAGTCCTTCCATTTGAAAACAGATTTAGAATCAGTACCTGATGCTCAGCCAGATCAATTGCGGGCAATGGAAACTCGCAAAACTCACATGTAACATTCCTTTGGGGGCAATTTTCACCTTTATGAATAGCTAGAATGTTGCGGTCCATTGTCTCACTGCACAGTGAACAGGCAACCTGCTTGCACAGATATGTGATCATAGCATCACAAATGTTAAGACATGCATCATGCTAGTTTTTTAGATGTGCACTTATACATAACATACAAAATCGGTTCATTTCAAAAGAAAAGAAAAGACCTACCGGAGTGTGGGTGTTCAAGAAATGTTCCTCGGCATGCTTTTTTGGAATCATGTCACCACAAACTTTACATTTTTCAAGATTACGGGAGCAGTGAGTATAATGCAAATCGATGTTAGAAGAAGGTATGGCCCGGTCACTGAAAAATTCAGAAGGTAAAGAACGTGTTAAAAGTTCTACTGTAAGGGATTTTTTTTAAAGAAAAAGTAAAACCTAAATAAATTAATGTTAGATAAATTAATGATAATTAATGTCTTGTCATTCTAACTCAGGTCAGTGCACTAAAATAATGCATTTCTATATTGCAAAAAAGATTAGGCAATTGATGAACCTCGGTAATCTTTGACACAACTCATATTTCATCTTCCTAAGGAAACATTAGAGCATACTACGACGTATGTATAAAATTGCTTCATGATAAATGTGAAAAGGAGGAAGCTTCGAGCTCCTTTTCAACAATATGCAAATGCTAAGCACACTTTCAGGTATCAAGTGGAACACAAATGTTTTTCTTTATTAGTATAAAGGAAGACGTAACCTAGATTCGGTCATCGATGGTGAATGCCAACCTCATACTTCCTAGATCTTACCTCTTACGGATAGCTACGTGAACTACCTGAGCTAAGCTCAAGAGTCGGGGGTTCAGACTGGATTATAAAGTATTGTCAACGCAGGCTAGCACACCACCAAAATGTAACCAACAGTTATGTTGTAAGGTTAAACATACTCTAGTCATAGCAAAATTTCAAAGTTCGTTGACTTTTAAACTAGGGACAGAGACAAAGGCTGTGATCACATGAATCGAAAACAACGACAAAATCATAAAACAAACAGAATTTTAGGTCCTACGCCAACCCAAAATCAGAGGGTAATTCAACTAAATCCACTCCCTTCTCAACTTAATTTGGCCAATTTAGATTACCAATAATTGCTTTCACTTTGTGCATCAACTAATCCACTACTACATAAACTCTAAGCAAACCAAGTAACAACAATTCCTCCAATCCGCCAATATAAGCTCAAATAAACAAAAATCTCAGCTGCTAAAAGAATAAATAAACATAACTGGAATCGTAAATACAATAAAAAAATGTAGCACCGAAATCCTACGAATCAGAATTAATTCTAAAAAACATCATAAAAATATACTAATAAATACCAGTGATTGCATGTAAGGGTGGTTTCTTCCGAAGCAATTGCCATAGCGATCCGTTTCAAAAACTTTGACCGACAGAAAAAAAAAATTAGAAAAAAAATCAACGAAAAATAAAAACCGAGAGGGAAAATTTCATAAGGGGAAACTAAAAGAGTGATGAATATGATTAAGTTAACCTGCAAAAAAGACTTTGATTCTCCTTGAAACTCACCTCTTTCTTTCTTTCTTTTAAATTTAATTCTTTTTATGTAGTATTAAATTGAAAACGGAATTAGAACGAAGAGTGAGAGTTATTTTGATTATTGCTTTGATTGAACCAACTGCTTTAAGATGATTAACTTTGGAGCTCGGACATTGGGAGTTGGGACCATCGATATGCCCACCATTCAGCATTTTCTCCCACGCGCCTTCCAAAAGAGGTGAGGTGCACAGCTATTTGCAATTTGGGCCCTTGCTATTCTAACTTTTTGGGCCTTCAGCACAACAGTAAGATCTTCAGAGGGAATAAAAACCGGTTTAATTGTTCATTATTTTTTGTTAAAATGCTAAAAAAATAACGAATTGTTTTGACTTTTCAAAAATAATATTATATTTATTAAATAATATATTTTAAAAATACTTATATAAATATATAAAAAATAATCTTTTTAATATTATATTTGAAGATCAAAGTTAAATAGATGATAGTACTACACGTATATAAAAGTTTAATTCAAAAATAAAGGATAAAAAATAAAATAAAATAAAACTTAATAAATAAAGGTTCATGGACCGAGTTCATTACAAATCTTTTCTTTTTTTTTTTACTTTTCTTATCGAAGTCTTAAATTATTTGAAAGTATACGTTCTTTAGAAAATTTAATATAAAAACTTATCTTTAAATTATTATTTTTATTTAGGTAATTTTTATTACAGCAGTATTTAAATTATTATTTTATTCTAATTTTATCTTAAAAATTAACATCTAATAAAACTATATCATGTGCCACATTCTTATTGTTTAGGATAATAAAATATAGCTTATGTATCATTTATGACCAAAAAATAGTTACTTAAGTAAAAAAATTTATAAGTCAGTTTTTATATTGAACTTATTTTAATTTTAATTTCATTTAATTTAAATAATTTTTATTATGTTTGTTGCGTTGAAAACACATTATGTGTAAATAAAATAAATATTATTCTTTAGTGTTATATCATAAATATTAAATTTATATCATATAAATTATTAGATATATTTTCAAAATTAAGAATTGATTCAATTTTTGGATGTATTATGTTTAGTTTGTATTTAAATTTTTTTGAACAAAAGTTAAATACTTATAGCTTAACAATAAAAAAACGATTTTGTAGTTTGATAATTAAAATTATTAAATCTAAAGAATTATAAATTATATTTTTTTTTAATTTTTAATTTTACAAATATAACTCTCAATTAAATAAAATAATTCGATGAATTATTTTAAAAAAAATATAAGTTTAAAATATATTTTATAAATTTAAAAATAAATTGTAAATTTCAAAACATTTGAAAAATCTAAATTTTTATTTTTTTGAGAATTATTGTTTAAAAGTATTCAGAAATACCAAAATGAAATTTTAGTTAAAATTTAAGGGTCAAATGAAATATTTTAAATTAATTTAGCTTTCTATGTCACCTCCTTAACGGTGTGATGTACAATTTTTTTAACAAAATTCAAAGTTTAATGTCCATTTTATAATTTTTAAAAATTCGTTGACCAAAAAAGTTATTTTAACATTGTTTAATGATGACTAATGAATTTTATATTAGTTGATATTCGTAATGTATATCAATGCATGATATTAATAGTACATATAGATATGTAGCATTTGTTGTAGATTCATCTTTATTTAAATATATGATACAAAAGATAAGGTTCGTTCACATTACGTAAAACTTTTAAACTTACACAAGCCATGAATATCACCATAGTCCATAGGTTATAGATGCTTAAAAACAACAAGAATCCAAATAACATAAATAGGAGGTAGGAGTTCATATTTCCATTTATAAAGAATGGACAACCAACAAATAACTGTTTGAATCATTTGATCCCACTCATCTGACATACTTGAAGAATTTAACATATCTATGAAAACATGCACTACATATTATGTTACCCGGACTCGAGTATTAAATATCTCTAATACGGGTATACTTTAATCATTTATAAAGTTTTTCCATACCTTTGGAGGATCATGCTCACCACTCGTATCCAGATCAGACATGAATACTTTAAGAAGGATCATACTGTGGATATCAGACTCAGGTTCCCGCTTCATCGTCTCTTTGGAACTCGGAAGAATAGCTACTTGCCTGCTTTGTCATTCGAAAGCTTCTCATTGGCAACATCGCTGGGAAGATCAGGCCCGCTAGGGATCTTCCCAGGATAGTTGGTTGTTGCACGATCTGATCCCAACATACTGAAGCAAAAATGTTCAGAATAAAGTTCATACAGTTATGCAGCGATTAAGCAAATTACTTATGTTTCAAGGTTTCAAAATGTCATACATACCATCTATCGACCAAAACTACGGACCGGAGCTCACAATTCGCAAAGCTGCAACGGGTCGTACCAAATTATCATATTAGTCCGTGAAATTCCAAGGTTTTAAATCATCTCTACAGGAAAGCTCAGATTCATACTACTTAACAGATCAAAATTCTGACCATTAAACTATGCCAGTCAGTACGGCAGAGAGTTGCAATCCATTATAGAGAGGACATGGACTTTGGACTCAAGATTTCAGGTTATCAGTAATTTCAACTTTCAAAGAAAACTAGACTGCTCTATCAATAAACAGTTAATTAGCAATTGTAAATTTGCAGAACTCACTGTGTGCATATTTCACTCTTCACAGATGGATGACAATCCTTGCAAAAACACCCAAGGTTTGGTACAAGAAGCCACTGTGAGTAACAACGGCAATTTCCCTCTCTTCTCGTGTCCACAGCCTGCCGCAAATGATAAATGGATTAAAAAATGGTTGGGAGGATGTGAACTAGCCATCGAACGAAGCAATTTTACTTCAAACTATAATCTAGCCATTTCTGTCATTCAGATTCATAGGCAGTGTCAAAATATGAGTTTGGTATTTTAATGGAGCGAAGAGTTCAGTTAACATAGCCATTTCCAGGATTGACTCCAGTTCTTCATTTTTCTTGAAGTACCAGTGCCTAACATATACCTGGATAAGGGTATGGGGATATGATCTTCCAAAGACCCTACAAGAAAATCTTAGAAAAAAAGAATATACCTGTACCAGAATCATACTCATATCCCAGGTAAAACTCTGATTCAAAGTAACATAGGTTGTGTTTATCAGAAAGAAAAAAAAGGAAACTTTGTAAAGCAGATACTAAGGGACCACTCACCAGTTCAAGAATTTCATTCCTCTGGTTGCAATTTCTTCATCCTTTTCTCTATAGTTAGCTTCCCACAAATTATCCTCATTGCTGTCAATCTGAAAGACAAGAATTCCGCCAATTAACCGATATTGAATTTGCAATTATAACAAATTCCAATATAGGCAAAGTGAATGAGAATCATTAAGCTCCACGACAAGTTACTTGCCAGAGAAAAATCAATCGCGGGAAACAAAGGCCGATATTCGCTGATGCTTTTTCTTCTATCACATGGATGGACTCCCTGTTGTTCAATGGTTCAATAAGGAAAAGGAAATGAAAATCAGATGAGAAACGCATGGTATGAAAGTTCAACCAGAAAAATGAAGATATTCTGGGCAATCAGTATTAGCTGTAAATTCTACCAAATAAACTAACTCATAAGTTCCAACTTATATTTACATAAAATGCACTAGAATCTGGCTATCTGCCAGGTCCATTCATCTTTAGATTCAGAATTTCTTAACTGGCATGTGCCATGGAAGCCATTAAACAGATGACAAGTATTTACCAGTGAACCAAAAAATATTGGGGGTTATGTTCCGAGTCTCCAACACATATGAAGTGGATTAGGCTTTAGGTGTCAAAATCATCCAATTTCCAGAATTTATAATGATATTCTTAAACCATTAAATGCTGTGCTCTATCATGATTTGAAAGAGTTGTGTTGCTCCGATTCTTCATTTTCCTTGAAGTACTCGTGCTCGATGTATATCCCAATATGAGTATGGGGATATAACCCTTCAAGGACCCTCCAAATACATGAAAAAACTTGAATAAAGATTAAAGATAGCCTGTCAGACATGTATCCATTTTCGACACTTTCACCCGAGGATTATTACAATCTTGACATCTATGTTGAGTCTGTGACTAATATCAAACATATTTCAATGCATACCAAGTTTCTATGCTCATTTCATGAATATTTCGCAATACTTCATGCATTTTGGGAGCAAGATCACTGATAGGAAATAGGAAACAACACATGAATACAAACAGGGCATCTGAAAAATCTGCATTAGAAAGAAGAAAAAAGGGAAATCTAAATTGAATCCTGTAACCAAAAAGTTATATGGTTCGAATACATCAGTTATTCCAAAAGCAAAGGTTTGAGGTTTGATAAAGTATGTTGATGGATATTGAAAATCAATGTTTAATATCAAAAACCTAATTTTTTTTTGCATGGCAGACTTTTATATCAGAGAACAAGGGAGGAACCTACATACACACTAAATGAGTTTTGCATATCCATTTGGGATCTGTTTATTTCCTTGCTATGCAAGCATGAAATTGAAAATTTATATTCATATTACACCACACAAGTAAATACTGCAACGGCATTAAAAAGATGTAAGCAGAAAACACATTAAGTTGAAATAAATACTTTCATACGATGTCTACCATATATTGCCAGAAGTGGTTTTCATTATTCTCGTTACAAATAAAAGAAAGTCCAAAAGAGATCTAGTTAGTTCTTTTAGAGATTCAAGGATGTACCAAATGTTCTCGACAAAGTTCAACAGCTACAAACGGCGGGCAATTCAGACTTGAAATTGCAGGACGGTTACTTTCCCCTGCATTTTCTAGCATCAATGGAGGTACATCTATCCCATCTTTATACCCTTCACCACCAAAGACTCCCACTGCAGTTTGCAAAGTCCTAGAATGCCAAAATTTCTAAAATCCATTATTCCCCGACAGCTATAGCACTAGAACTGAGGAAAAACTAACATTTAAAAATGAATTATTCCTTTATTAATAAAAGCAGCACGAGTGTTTCCATTTTCAAAGCAATGAACATTCAGCACCAAACATAGTAGCTGTGA